AGGAGGCCGCTGGGCCTCGATTCCAGTATGGAGTGCGACGTCGCGGACGTCGTCTTGGGTATACGGCCCCGCGGGCCGGGATAGCGAGCCTCGCTCCAAGCTACCACTGTGATATGTGGATATCGCTGATATCGTTTGTCGAGGAATCGCGCGGCGAAGCTCTCTGCGTAGCTCTAAGGCCAAGGGCCCTAGTTCGAAACAAAACGGCAGCGACAAGGCGGGCGTGCGAGATAGAGCGGGGAAGGAAGGGCACGGGGAGTGAGCGGGAATCACAGCTACTAACCAGCGGTCGGATGGATCTTGGAGCTGTCTGATCGCAGGCTGCGACATCCGTGTGGCGTTCTTCCATGCTGATTCAGATGGCCGGACGTCGTGCCGCCCCTGGATGTTCAGAAACCTGGGGTCGTATGGTTTATGAAGGAAACCATGTACGGCACCTGGCCGCCATCCAGAGCTTTTGGCAGCTATGTCATTGACAAGCCCAAGGCACAGACCTTTGACTTGGTGGCGGTGGTGCCGATGACGTTCGTAAGTGAAAAGTTGGTTGCCACGGAGACTATTTTCTCGCAGAAGGTGAAGAGAGGTATGTTGATGTGCTGGATGACACCGTGAAGAGGCACTTCGAAGCGAACAGCTTGCCCCGCGCAGGGCCCCCGGGAGCACGGCGGCCAGGCGCAGTGCAGCTCCGCCGCATAAAAAGCACGCCGTCCGGTGGACGCCCGAAGGCTTCCCGCGGGAAGGCAACACCCAACACTTCCGTGACCTCGCGGGCCCGCTGTGCCCAGTGCCCGGCGCGAGCAGAGGCATCGACGCACCCGGGCCGAAGGACACGGCGGAGAGCCGCAGGGGGGTGCCCTGGAGCCGCCAAGGGCAGGGAGGGCGCGAGTCTCTCTTCCGGAGCGCGGCAGGCACCCCCTGCCAGTGTTTGGCGGAGGAAGTCCCGGCGGTGAAGTTCTCGGGCTCGCGGGGCATGGAGGGGATGACGAGCCCCACTGTCACCCACCAGCTGCGGCTGCACAGGGCGGGCCAGTATCCGCTGGCGCACCCAGGAGAGATCTTGATCTGGGAGTACAGGTACCAGAAATATACACATCTTTTGACTGATTACGTTGATTCTGATTGGCAGAGTGTAAGTTGCGCGGTCGAGACATACGGTACTCACATGTAAGACACGTCTGTCAGCAAGCAACAGATGTTGGCGCCTTACAGTGCAGATGCCGAGTTCTACTCTATCATAATAAGCACAGCCATGGGGATCCAAACAAAACAGGTGTTAGAGGCCGTGCTGCACCACCCGGTCTCGCTGGAGATCCCGAGCGACAGCAGCGCGGCCCAGGGCATCTGTCAGAGACAGGGTAGCGGCCGTGTCCGCCACCCGCCCGCGAAGGACTTGTGGGTCCGGGTTTTTGTCCGCACAGGTCGGGGATCGTTACGGAAAGTAGGCACCAAGTACAGCTGGGCGGATCTTTGGGACCAAGGGTCACCCCAAGACACGTCTCGAGGAGCAAGCTGATCGAGATGATGCCGCTGAGGAGGAGAGGGTTCGAGCCCAGAGAGGTCCAGAGAAGCATCGGTCGCAGTCTTTTTGCTCCTGGCAGCTTTGACTACGCAGTCTGCTGCGGCCCGCAGGCCGCACGAGAGCTAGACAACAGCGGTCCGCAGCGAGTCCGTGCTGAGGGGGGCACTGTGTGGGTTGAGCACGAGATGCGCTGGTTCAGTCTGCCACGAGTGGCGGATGGGGAGCGTGCCCGAGAGCAGGTCCAACAGCATGCCCGCAAGCGTGCAGTCAGCGATGCGACTCCGAAGGGAGCATGCTGGAGAGTGCATCCCAAGAGCGTGCCTGTGAGCATGCACTCATCGACGGGCGTCTGGAGGGAGCGTGCTGGGGAGCAAGCCCCAAGAGCGTGCTTGCGAGAATGCCTGGATGGAGGGACCCTGGAGAGAGAGAGTGCCGGAGAGTATGCCGCAGCAGCGTACCCACGAGCATGCACTGTGGTGCACGGCGCTTGGCAGGGGTCTTGGAGCAGACTGTGGAAACAAGTGGCGCACAACTGCACCATAGCAATACTGAGTACTAGCGCTGGTAATTATGTGAATGAGTACGCACTTGCTTTAATCCGAATGTGCGTAAAACCATTCATGATTATCGTTCCATTTCGTTCGCTCGATCTTTCCACGGTTTGGCCAACCGGTTGCTTCTGAGTGTGCGGTCCCTCACGGCAGACTGGACGAACAACGTTTCACACAGACACTGCGTGGACATGCGTGCTCACCTTCCTTGGTACGGAAGATCGAGAGGAAGACTGCTGAGGTTTCCTGGTGCACCGTGGCTCAACGAAGCCATAGAGGAGCACCATGGCTCAACGTAGCCATGAACGAATGTAGCTTCAAGCTGTCGCGTGTGAAAGGCACTGCACAGGCTGTGTCCCTCCCCGTACAGGGGGGTTTCCGACGAATGCTTTAAAAAGTCAAAACAATACCCCACAGTGGTCGAACAATGCTCCAAAAAGAGTCCCCGTACGATTTTGTTGACTATTTCTGAATGTCCCTCCTGTAGAGGGACAGGCCCGACTCAAAGCAAACCCTGCGCTGCGTGCCGCAGCAGACGACGCCGGCGCCGCGGCAGACCGAACGGCAAGCCTGCCGCGCCCGAGGCGGCGGCTGCCCCTGGTGGCCAGGGCGCCCTCCCCAAGGCGCGAGGCCGCGCGTCGGGACAAGCGGCGCGGCGACATGCCGTTGCTTCTTGAGCCCCGAGCCGCCGAGGCATCCGCCGACGACGCCGACGACGCCGACGACGACGACGACGACGAAGAGGACGAGGACGAGGGCTGGGACGACGAACGCGACGAGGACGAGGACGAGGGGAACGACGACGACGACGACGACGACGTCGACGACGACGACGACGACGACGACGACGACGACGACGACGACGACGACGACGAGGACGACGACGAAGAGGACGAGGACGACGACGAGGACGAGGACGAGGACGACGACGACGACCGCCCCCGCGCCCCCAAGGCCTGCAGCCCCCGGGGCCCGACCTCTTCCCCTGGGCCCACCCGTGTGGTGGTCCCGGGGCCCGAGCACTGGAGCGCGTTTCTGGATGTTCGGCGATGGCGGGCGTCGTCGTCGTCGTCGTCCTCCTCCTCTCCTCTTTTCCTCCTCCTCCTCCTCCTCCTCCTCCTCCTCCTCTTCCTCCTCCTCCTCCTCCTCCTCCTCCTCCCTCCTCCTCCTCTCCTCCTCTCCTCCTCCTCCTCCTCTCCTCCTCCTCTTACTCTCCCCAGAGGTCAGGCGCTCCAAAGATTGACGAACGAACAACACGCACCCGTACCCATGGGCGGGACGGGGGTGGGGGGGCGGGGGGGGGGTATGACGCAACTCGGCGGTGGACAAACCTCCCTTTAGTAAACTCCCTTTCGTGAAAGCGGCCTGGGACCGAGACCGACGGGCCTGGAGCCGCAAAAATGACGGCCGCGACGCCCTCTCGCGAACCGAATACGGCCAATTCGCTAATCAACGTGTCTGGGTAGGAGGTCTGTGCACCCCCGAGTAACGCCCCCCCCCCCCCGCCGTGTGGCTCCCGCACCACAGCCGCGCCCGCGCGCACGACGCGACGAGCGACAAGCGACAAGCGACGACACCAGCGCGAGGAGAAGAAATCGGGGCAAGGATCAATCGGCTGCACGCACGCAAGAGCGACCCTGGGCAAGATTGACCCGTGGTGCGCGGCGTATGGGGAGCCGCGGGGGGGGGGGGGGGGCACAACCCACGCGCGCATGACGCTACTGTCACATCGCGTCCGTCGATCGGGGGACCCCCGCGGGCCCACACCACAGGTCAGTAAGGCGAAAGTTCACACGTGCGTGTAGTTCCCCAATCAGTGCTTGCACTGAAGGGGTCCTAGCAGAGATTTTTTAAAAATAGCAAAAATTTCCCGCCGACTTTGGTGGCAGGCTGGGTTCCCGGGTTCCCGGTTCCGGGTTCCCGGGTTCCCGGTTGTTGTTTCCGGGCCGATTTGGTTCCCGGGCTCCCGGGTTCCCGGTCGATCTCCCCGGCGAAAACCATCCACGAATTGGGGTTTCTCTATGGAAGAATTGAAATACACCGAGAATCTCTGAGACCCAGCGGTTCTGGAAGATATCTCGGGCGCCGCGGCCTCCTCAGTGCGTCCCGGAGCGCTCTGAAAGCCTTCCAGCACGCTCTGGGTCGGATGCATCCTTGCCCCAGCCCCGCTCGAACCACGGCCCCCGAGGGCCGAACTCGGGGGAAAAACGCCGGATGACCAAAATCACCTCGTCGGAGATCTGGGCCCACTCCTCCCATACTCCACATCCTTCAATAAGCACCATCCCTGTGCCAACCTGTCCGACGCCCCTTGCCCGCCCCCCCCACGCGGCTCAAACCCACCCCCTCTCGCTCCCCAACCTGCCCACGCCCCCCGAAGGACAGCGGTTTCCTACCCCCCCACGCGATCCCCCCCCCCCTGCTTATTGATAGACTTGGAGGACCCTTCCGCTGGAAGAGCATGAAAAGGAATCTCGGAGGCGCACGGCCAGCGCCCCCCAGGTGGCCCCAGCTGGCTTCCACGGGCCCCCCGAGTAGCCCGAGGCAGTCTCAAGAGCTCAACCCTGGGGTTAAGTCGGGCGTGCCCCCCTACAGGGGGGCTTTCGACGAAAATTAAAAAATTGTCAAAAAATACACCAAAATGGTCGAAGAATGCTCAAAAACTAATCCCCTGACTATTTTTTGACTATCTTTGAATATCCCTCCTGTAGAAGGACAGGCCCGACTTAACCCTGGGGCGCGGAGCGCCCCAAGGGCGCCGCCAGAAGCGGCGCCGGGGTGTCGAGACGGCCCTGGACTGTTCGGGGGGCCTGTTGAGGCCAGCTGGGACTCCTCGGGGGGGCCCCTCGAGACCTGTCGGGGCCCGCTGGGGTCACCTGGGGGAGCTGGCCGTGCGCGAGCCCGAGCCTCCCCGAGAAGGCAAAGGGGGCCTGCGAGCGCTTGCTCTTCTGGCTCCTGACCGCCAGCAGCGACACGCCCTCGGACATGTCGTGGCGGATGGCCGTGTCCAACGCACTGGAGCTGCACAGCGACCCCTGCGCGCACACCGCCTCCTGTGGGGTTTCGACCTTGCCCTCCTCCTCCTCCTCGTCCTCCTCCTCCTTCTCGTCTTCTTGTTAATTCGTATGCGTATTAGTATTAATATGATTACTAGTGTGCTTATCATTGTCATCCTTAATATTACTATACGTATCATCCGTATCATTATCATCCATGTATGGTGATTCATAGTATTAGTGTGATTACCATTAGTAGTCGTATTAGTAGTAGTAGTAGTAGTAGTAGTAGTAGTAGTAGTAGTAGTAGTAGTAGTAGTAGTAGTAGTAGTAGTAGTAGTAGTAATAGTAGTCATAGTAGTAGTAGTAGTAGTAGTAGTAGTAGTATAGTAGTAGTAGTAGTAGTAGTAGTAGTAGTAAGTAGTAGTAGTAAGTAGTCGTAGTAGTAGTAGTAGTAGTAGTAGTAGTAGTAGTAGTAGTAGTAGTAGTAGTAGTAGTAAGTAGTAGTAGTAGTAATAGTAGCAGTAGTAGTAGTAGTAGTAGTAGTAGTAGTGGTGGTGGTAGTAGTAGTAGTAGTAGTAGTAGTCTTAGTAATATTAGCATTGCTATTATTACTCATGTGTTTATTAGTATCCTTATTATTCTTCTACGCCTCATCATCATCATTATCAATATTCTTCCTCCTCCTCCTCCTCCTCTTCCGCTTCCGCCTCCTCGTCCTCCTCCTCCTCCTCCTCCTCTTCCTTCTCCTCTTCCTCTTCCTCCTTCTCCTCCTCCTCCCGTTCTCTTCCACCTTCCGTTCTCCTCCTCCTTCCCCTTTCTCCTCCTCTCCTCCTCCGCCTCCTCCTCCTCCTCCTCATCATCATCACCATCACCATCACCATCACCATCACCATCACCATCACCATCACCATCACCATCATCATCATCATCATCAGCATCAGCATCATCATCATCAGCATCAGCATCAGCATCAGCATCAGCATCAGCATCAGCATCAGCATCAGCATCATCATCATCATCATCATCATCATCATCATCATCATCATCATCATCATCATCATCATCGTCATCATAGTCCTGCTCCTCCTCCTTTTCCTACTTCTCCTCCTGCCCTCCTCCTCCTTCTCTTCTTCCTCCTCCTGCCCTCCTCCTCCTCCTCCTCCCTTCCTTCTCTCCTTTCTTCGTCCTCTTCCTCCTCCTCCATTCCTCTTCCTTTTAATGGGTAACTCCTCCCTGTCGCACCCCGAGGCTGGTCGAAAGGGTCAACCCGGTATTTCGCCAGAAACCTACCCACAATGTATGATCCTGAAGCTTGAAATTTGCATGATATGTATGGATGGAGGGCAGTCCGTTTTCAGAATGTGGCTCTCGCCTTGGCGCCGCGCAGATTCGTTTGAACTTACCCTGCGACGTACCCAAGCCATTTGCATCAAATGACAAGACAAGTTGGCCCAACTTTGCCAGGACAGCGCTGCACTCGCGTGGGGCACCCCGGCAGCAAGGCCGCCTCCTTCCGGCGTCCTTATTAGCTAACCCATGTCCTAGTAGCAGGAGCCGAGGGGGAAATTGGATGATGCGACAGCGGCTCGGCCGCAGATGTAATCGCACGCGTTCTGGGGGTCCGCGTGGATCGCGGCCGCTAGGCGGGCGGGGTCTTTGATGGCGGCGCAGAGAGCATGGCGGCCGCGCCCAGGGTGCGGGAGAGGCAGGGCGAGGAAGACCGCGCGCGGAGGGCCCCCTGCTGAAATGGCACCGGGGCCTCCCAGGAGGGGGGCGGTCGGGGGCGAGGCAGTGAAACACCCTTCCCGCGATCCGGTGCCGCTCCGACGCCTGGCAGCACCGGCGCGTCGGATCGAGCCCTCGCGCTGGACTTCTGGCCCAGGTCTTCGCGCCGCGCAGCTTCCGAGCTACGTGGTGCCCGCGTGCACTTCCACGGTGCCAAACTGATCAAGGCTGGCAGAAGAGGCGCCGCCCAACCTCTCCCCACCCACCCCCACCTCGCCCGTAGAAGACCGGCCCTGCCCATGTCGGCCATTACCCGCTGGTGGACTCGCAGCTCAGCTGTCTGGAGACTTGCAGAGTGAAGGGGGCTCGAACGGATATGTCCATGGGTTTACTGGCAGTTCTCGGTTGGCGCTCACGTTATCGGCGCCACTAGATCCCCGCCGAGATTTGAATTTCCTGAAGGGGGGGGGGCGGAGGCTGCGCGGGGAGAAACGGCACTGTCCCCGGGATTGTATTCCCGAGTCATGCGCCCCCGAACAGAAACTCTCAAAGCTCGGTGTCCTCTTCGTGGCGCTGGGCCTCGCGCTTGGGAGTCTCCCACCGGCGTAGCGAACGGGCTCCTCCTGGCTGCGTGTGGGCCCGCAGCGGTTCCCATAGCCCTTAGAAGGCCTCCAAGGGGGATCCCAGGGCGCGGTTGGAGAGGTCCCTCCGCTTGGGCCATCGGCTGGGTAGGAGCTGAAAAAGGGGAGTGCGTATCAACTGGACCTGGCAACGCTTCAACCTCGTCATCAGCCTTGATGTGCGGGTCGTGCGCGATCTGGCTCATCACGATTTCCGTGGGCATCAGCGGGCTGGGCTGCGCGTTGAGAATTTCCGCGGGGATCTTCGGCGCGAGTGTTGCCGATGGCGTGGCTGGTGCGGCACCCGTGATTGGTGTAGCGGTACCTCCAATTGGCGTAGCTGGCGCAGCTCTTGGAGGTGCCTTGAGTAGAATGTCCACTTGCTGGTCGGTGTACGATTGGCGTTCCATCGTCAGCTTCATCATGCCATCGAGATCCTTCAGTTCTCTGCTGATGGCCGCTGGCGTGGGGAACTGTCCTGGCACGGGCAGTGGCGAAGGCGGTGGGGACCCCATGGTGTTGGAGGGCGCAGTTGGCACTGGAAAAAGGACGGGCTGATTGGGGGTACTGGTGGCGCGGGTGGCGGCACAGGCGCACCTGCAGCATGACATCCTGAGCCCATTTCCATATGCATGGGTTGGTGGCCTCCTGCCCCTGCCTCCTCTCCGACCATGTAGTCCTCCAGCTCTTCGAGCTCGTCGACGGCAGCTTGCCGCAAGCGCAGAGATCCGTCCCCGGCTGCTGGTAGGTCAGCCTGCAGCTCGCCAAGAGTTGGGCGCCCGGCGTGCGGAAATGCTATTGCACGTTCTCTCGTGTGGGCGCCACTCAGCGCAGCAGTTGGTCATTCCACTTCTCACATGTCGCCATTATGTATTTCAGACACGGAAGTTCTCGTACGAACGGCTCCTGGTCATATGTTCCCACTCTGCGGTGTATGACGACTAGTCTCCCGATCTCGAACATGCACGTATGGGTCTTCGCCTTGAAGCTCTTGGTGAGCGGGACTGCGGGCGGGGCCTGGTCGTAGCCCAGGAACCGGATTGCCTCGAAGACCTCCGACCTCTTCACCGTGACGATGCTGCCCACGAACTGTTTGATCTCTTGCCCTTGCTTCTCGAGCTCCCTCGAATGCACTTCCTGCCGCATGCTGCGTCTCACACGGCTCTGGCCACGACGGCGCCCATAAGCCTGGCCACGGGGAACGACGAGATCCTGCCAAGGACGACCCCACAGACAAGTCCAGGGATGCGCCCTGGCGCATCGTCCGCACGCGCAGTCCCACGTCTGCGCTGGCCCCCGCGGGCGGCTCATGTCTGTACAGGGGTAACGATGGTAGGCCTCAGAGAAGGATGGAGCTCTGGTTGCAGCGAAAAACGGCGGTGGACAAACCTCCCTTTAGTAAACCTCCCTTTAGTGAAAACGACCTGGGACCTAGACCGACGGGCCCGGACCCGCCAAAATGACGGCCGCGACGCCCTCTCGCGAACCGACAACGGCCAATTCCTGAATCGACGTGTCAGGGTAGGAGTTCTATCAACCTCCGAGAGAAAAACATTCTTGCACGAGTGCGCATGGCGCGCTGGCGCCTATGCCGAGCAGGTCCCGTGGCCGTGGTGTGCGGTATCAGACGCGGTCTCCTGTAGGCGCGCTGGAGTTGGCTCCTTCCCTCTTCCCCCTCCCCCTCCCCTTCTCTCTTCACCTCCCCGTCCCTCTACAATTACTCAATATGAATCCTACTCTCCGTCTTCCCCTGATGACGGCTTGGGAATATCCGACCCCCCCCCCCGCGTACTGTCTTTTTACACACAGGTTTCCCCAGAAGTAGGTTTTCGCTTGCATTTTTTCCCAAAATGCTCGCTGAGGCGCCGGCCTCATTTTCGGGCCCCGCTCGTTCCGAATCGTGCTCCCGCTGCAGCGCTGGCATCATTTCCGCCGGCGCCCGGGCCGGACGCCCGAGCCGGCGCCCAGGCCGGCGCTCCAGCCGCGGGTCCGGAGCCGGTTCCGGCCGGCGCCGGAAAATCGAGTTCCGAGGCGGCACCGAAAAAAGGCCATTCCAATACACATTCTTCTTTTGAAAATGCTGAATTTCTGCTTCTGGCGCCCAGGAAGCCTCCCGGGCCGATTCCGGCGTGCTTCCGCTCGTTCCGAATCGTGCTCCCGCTGCAGCGCTGGCCTCATTTCCGCGCTTCCGCTCGTTTCGACTCGTGCTCCCGCTGCAGCGCTGGCGTCATTTCCCGTGCCATGCCACGGCATGCAATGCAATGCTAGGTTGATACTACGCTTCGCGGTGCTCTTCTACGCCATGCCATGCCGTGCTCTACAATGCATCGCGTACCCTTTCGGGATCATTGCCCTGCTCGAAATCCGACTGTGCGAGTAGAGAGGGGATCTGCGCCATCGTAAGGGATGGGAGCGAGGGGTAGGATGTCAGATATGACGCGAGCGCACCTAGCTTGCCCCCTCCCCCCTCCCCCCCTACCCCTCCTCCTCCTCCTCCTCCTCCTCCTCCTCCTCCTCCTCCTCCTCCAACGACGACGCCGCCGACGTCGGCGGCGGCGGCAACGACGGCGACGGCGGCATCGGAAATCCTCTGATGTCAGCGCGCGGCCGAAGAGGCCCGCCAGCAGGAGGGAGGCGACCACG